GTATTGTCTCGACCGGCCCCACTTTCGGCCCCTTGGTCCCCCTTTTGGACATCTCTGGATCCGCCCCTGATATGGACTCAAATGTTGTATTTATACGAAGTAACATATGCACTACAGTAGCCCATCAATGTCCAACTAAAGATTTAGAAAAAGAAAATCTGGTTTGATGTTGATTTTTTTTTCTTATTTTAAGACTTTTTGTTTGGATAGGCCGTTGTATTAAAAGATATTATTTCCCCCCCCCCCCCTTTTCAAGGAAGAGTGTCCCGGCCACGTGATAGTGGTGTTCTGGCCCTGAATAGGGGTATCCCAAAGGAGAGGTTCTACTGTAATATATTTCGATGCTACAGTTGCACATTCACATGCTAAAGGTGCGTCCAAATTAAAAGTATGTCTACATGAAACATACAATATACAATACTAAAAATTGTAGGCCTATTATAAAGACAGCAAGTGCACGAGTAGGTTACCCTATAATACACACAATTTTCAACAGTGTTAAAAGTCTACAACTTCCTGCTTTTCCTTCCAGGAAAAAAATATAGTATCATATTGCAAACAGTACCGTATTGCTATAGAAGGATTATTTCGCTATTTCTCAGTGATTGCATCATCCGCTCTGTTTGAATTTATTCTGAAAATCACTTAAATACTACAAAATATGAAGACAAAACTTAAATAGGCCTATGTAAATTAAATAGAAAAAAGAAAGATTTTCCTGGATAACCCCAAAAAAGCTTTGTGGGCTTATTTTCATTGGGGTCCACATAATTAATATAAATATATCTAAACAAGTATTTCAGTCAATTAAATACCGTACGCAATAAAGCAATTACAATTAAAGCATTTTGAATAAAATACTGAATATCAAAAACTTATATTACTTTCTTCATGAATAAAAACCTTTAACTTTCATTTCAAAATTTACTATGTTTTCAATAATTGTATATCATGAGCAAGGTTAATTCCATTCTTTTATACCTGTGTAATAAAATGTATATTACAAATCTCTCCATGATTTTAGAACATAGAAACTGGATAGGATGTTTCTAGTCTTTTATTATAGGCCCATATTGATAACTTGACGAAACTCTCACAAAATTGTTATTCATATAATGCACTGTTCCATAATATATTTTTAAATAAAGTGGAGAGCTATATTTTCTGGTTGCATTACTATGATTGACCTCTTAAAAGATGTTGTAAGGTGGCGAAATCCTTCGTATTGTGAATCAGGAAATTATAATTACTATGAATTAATTAATAATAACGATAATAATAAATACTGTTATTATTATTAATAATAATAATAATAATAATAATAATAATAATAATAATAATAATAAATAGTAATAGTAATAATAATATCATCATTAACATATGTTTAATAAAGAATAAATTACCTATTAATAAGTCCATTAATAGGTCCATTAATAGGCCTCCTCTAACATAATATTTGTTTTGACGCTTGCTTGTTACGTAATTTAAATCCAGGCCCGTCTAACCTATGACTCATGACCCAACTCTGTGTGCAACACACAGTGCTCCTACCAGCAGTAGGTACGTTCGTCCATCCGTCCGGTTGTATAACAATTAACCTCTAATTGAGACTTTACATTTGCAGAGTGTATTTTTAATTATAGGTAGGTAGGCCCTAGGCTAGCGGAGGGCCTAAAGAAGCTATATATAGGCCCTAGCATAGCAAACGGCTAGCCTACTTACTATTAGCTACTATTGCTACCGCTAGGCATACTGGAAGAATCGCTACTACGGCTCCAGGCCTATCCTACTACTAGTACTACTACTACTACTACTGTAGGCCTACCCTAGGCCTACTACACTAGGCCCGTGGCGGCTCTAGGATATATATATATATTCATGGGGGTGGGGCGGTAAGCTTTCCGACAGGGGAGCTCGTATGCCCGAGTTAGGAGAAGGGCTTGTAAGGGGTTCCCCTCCCAGATTGTTTTTAAAGAATAGGAACCCCTGGATGGCATGGAAATGGCACTCTCACTCAGACTGTGATACTGATAGACATGTGTTGGCTTGGTGTGGGCCTATTTTTATTTTTTTATGGTCTGACTGCCCAACGAGCTCTGTCCAACAGGAGGAGGGAGTGCATGTCTTGACTTCTCCGGTGGGGAGCTTAAACCCCCTGTTCCCTGCTGGTGCTGCCACTGTACTAGGCCTAGCCTTGGCTTCTGTAGCTACTACGGCCTAGCTTATGCTCTAAACACCCAACAAGTAAGAAGATAACAAACCACACAAAACGCTGTTTAGCCTTGGCCCAGAAATGCATTTACCAACCAAGCAAGGTCCAATTATTAAGCAATTAATCATTGATTAATAATATTATTACATGCTCTTTGATAAGTCAGTGATGACGTCATCACTTTTATTTGCACTAAATTTTCCTATTCCCGACTGATTGCTAATTTGATATAGCGCCTCCGATTTTTTGCATCCTCAAAGCTGGGGTGATTTTACATCGCAATGAATATTTCGTTGCTAGGCCAAGCTATGAACACACACAGCAGACCTAACAAATCTCACTACGGTGTTGGTTAACACGAATGAAGCCTAGGTCGTCCAAGGCAACGCCTAGAAAGGCATAATGTTATGAGATAACAAAGTTGATTGACTTATAAAAGAACTGAAAAATTAAGGTAATCATGAAATAATTAATACACAGTTAATGTGTTGATCACTGAGCAACCAGTCACTGCAATCCACAGTTTAATATATAATTATATGCCAACTGTTGATATATAATTATATAGCAACCAGCAGCTTGGTTGAAGGGCCATAGAAAAGGTGATGGATTTCACGAGTAACTTATAAAACAATTATGGTCAAGTAATTTTGTAACACTAGGAAATAGAAGCCTTAGGAGCCATTGTTTTTTCTTCAAAAATTGCCTTCAGCCCTGCAGCCTTCAGGCATTTTTTTCAAGAAATAATTGCTCCTAATTATAGTTGCATACTATTTCGTTCTTTAAAGAAAATTGTTGCCCGTGAAAATATATTTTCGAAAAACAACTGGAAACATTTTTTTTTATATAACCTAAACTTTGATGTTATGTTTTTTTTTTTATAGAACACACAGAAACATGAAGGTACTTTACCTTATGCAGCGTACCAATCAAAGAATTTTGCAAAACCTATCACGCTTGGTGGTCAGTGGTAGGGGGGGTGACTTTAATGCAGTATGCTTGAGGATTTGTATGTGTCGTTGCTACACTTCGGATGCAACTAGACCAGTTTTTGTTCAAACTCTTCGGGAAAACTACGGCGGAAAAGTTGCAATTGTAGACAGCATTGGAGAACATACCTACAATAAGATTTTATCTATAAGTACTAAACTTAGTCAGGGAATATTATCTATAACTGAAAGAGATTCTACTGTAAAATCATCTACATTCCTTTTAAATGGTGAGCGAGTGGCCTTTTTGTGTCCAAATAATGTGACGTATGTAGTTGCCCAGTGGGCAACTTGGATGAGTGGGGCCACTGCTGTACCACTTTGTAAATCACATCCACCGTCTGAACTTGAGTACTTTTTAAATGACTCTGGAGCATCATTAGTTGTCACAACACCAGAGAACGCTGAGAAAGTTGAAGCAACGGTGAAGTTATTAGGTATTAAACACATAATTCTCAATCAGGACAAACTTGCTTCAAGCGATGACGAAGCAAGTCCAATTACAGATTTTGCCTCGTTAACTGAGGGACAATTTGATTTGGACTCGTTCGTCGAAAAGCGCTTAATCACAGAGAAATGGCGGCAAATCAAATGGAAAAATCGTAGCGCCCAGTTGGTCTACACAAGTGGAACTACCGGTCGTCCTAAGGGCGTGTTGTCTACATTTGGTAACGTTCAGTCACAAGTGACTATGCTACTGGATTCGTGGGGATGGTCAAATAAAGATGTTGTTCTTCATGTTCTTCCATTACATCACATTCATGGTATCGTAAATTTGTTAGTGTGCCCTCTATGGTGTGGAGCAACATGTGTCATGTTGCCTGAATTTGATGCAGAAAAGGTGAGATTGAAGTAGACATGACTATTGCTTAATTTATGAAGCCAATTATCATTCTCATGGCTAGGAACACTCCATTTGAGTTTAGGGGTGGCATGCTTTGAAGTGCATTTTTATATAAAAATAGCAAAAGCAAACAAAAATTTCAGAGTTGACTTGCTATTTTTATTTCTTAAGGTGTGGAGTTATCTACTCGATGAAACAACACCAAGGGTTAATGTCTTCATGGCTGTTCCAACAATTTATGCCAAACTGTTGCAAGCATATAACACCAAATATGGAAGTGTTGCAGGGGGGAAAACAACAGAATTTATCAAGGCAACTCTACGGACTAAAATGAGGCAAGTATATAGTTCAGAAGAGTGAATGTATATCTATTTTAGAATACATTTTAGGAAACTTTATTTATTTTTCCAATTTCTCTATGGCTACTCCTTGTGTCTGCATTTCTTCATTGGTTTTGCATCTTTTTCTGTATTTTGCCAGATTGATGGTTTCAGGGTCGGCAGCCTTGCCTCAGCCAATCATGGAACAGTGGGAGAAAATTACAGGGCATCGTCTGCTGGAACGGTATGGAATGACAGAGTTTGGTATGGCACTGTCCAACCCTCTCAAGGGACTCCGAACTCCAGGTAGAAATGTAGAATTATGCTACAATGAATAATGAACACTTGAACGTGTAGGCTTAAATATAACAATCACTGTTGTCATTGTGCCAAGACTACTCAAAATAGTTTGAATGATGCTTAATAATTTATAAAGTAATTAAGGGTCATGCTCCACCATATTTAAATAATTTGTTTATGTACAATAATTTTTTTAGCGAAACAAACCTGTTAATTCCTTTACCACACACAGACTTTAAAAAATGAAGTTTATCATATCAAGGAGCGACCATATAAATATAAAAATAAATATTAAAAAATATAAATATTAAAAATCTGCCAACTTCAATTAGAGTTTTCAAAAAAATACTTTAAATGATTAAAATGATTATTAATTTTTAGGCAATTTATTTATTTGTTTTCACGAAATTGTTGAAAAACAATCTCTTGATTGAATGAGTGTATACTGTTTTTTTTTTTTTTTTTTTTTTTTTTTTTTTTTGTGAATAAATAAACACACTCACCTCCAGCCCTATCGTGGTTGGAGCAAGTTTTATGAATAGACACTTCTAGAGGCCCTGAAATGACACTCATATTTAAAGAAGTTATATTTTCTGTTTACTTTTTTTTGTTGCAGGATCAGTTGGAACTCCTTTGCCATCTGTTCAGGTCAGAGTGGTGACCTCTGATGGACAGATCACTGCAGAGGGAAATTCTGTTCGGACTTCAGTGACCTCTGGGATGGAAGGTGTGTCTGGTGAACTTCAGGTGAAGGGACCAAATGTCTTTAAGTTGTACTGGCAGAAACCGGAAGCAACAGAGGAAGCATTTACTGAAGATGGATGGTTCAAAACAGGTAGGAACCAGTACAAGTAGCTGTGTGAGGCAGGCCCTCTTGGTGTCTCTTGAGAGTTCTGATAGACCCTGAGAGCTCTGCTTCACCCTAGGAAACCATGGGCACTTGGCATTTTACACTTGCCTTTAATTCACTTTACTTTGTATAGGTAAAACAGCAGTTCCCTGGCTATAAGCTCATCCCCTGCTTTATGCCAAAGGTTGGATTTAAACCAACCATGTGTATCTCATTAACCTTTCCTGAGTTTTTCGTCACACAACTTTTTTGTGTCTCCAACATAATAAAATTTAGTTTTTCCTCCGGAGCTGACTTAAAGGTAGAATAACCTGTAACTCACTCTCATTGTGCTGAATTGTGTATGGGCGTGGTTTATGATTACCTGCATTACCGCTTGGCCACTTTACTTGCCTAATCATCCAGTATTAAATAATGTCATCATATCAGTATTTTTCTTTTTTACAGGTGACACTGTAGTGTATGAAGATAGCGTGTACCGCATACTGGGGCGCACATCGGTTGACATCATCAAAAGCGGTGGCTACAAGATCAGCAGCCTTGACGTGGAGCGCCGTCTCCTGGCGCATCACAGTATTTCAGAATGTGCAGTGGTTGGTCTACCGGACATGACGTGGGGACAGCGCGTAGCTGCTGTCGTCAGTCTAAAGGATGATCGCCAACTGACGCTGAAAGTGCTACGAGATTGGTGCCAGGATAAGATGCCGTCGTATGTAATCCCTACAGAGTTACGGATACTGCCGAGTCTTCCAAGAAATGCAATGGGTAAAATTAACAAGAAAGAGCTAGCGGAGGCAATATTTGGAGATGATTATCAAATAAAATAAATTTAAGCTATGAAATTTCCTGTGATTGTCTGATATGTTTACTCTTCAATCTGAATGACTAAAATCTACATATAACTCCAGTGAAATTTGGCAAAGTAAAATTACCATTTGTCTTGGTCCAAATTAATCAATGCAAACAGTTTAAATATCTCTTTTTCGATACAGAATTTTATGGTCAGTGGATACACTGTAATATTTCATGGACGTGCACATGGGCCCTCCTCATACAATCTTCAAAAAAATAAGTTTGCAAAAACAAGGTACAAAAAAAGTCTTGCCTACAGCTTAAATATATCATCCAAAAGCCAATACGCTATTGAAACTTGTATTTTAGCCCTCCTGCTGAAGCCCATGGAGGGCAGTGAATGGAATTCAACCAGGTTATGTGAAGGTCGTCATGTTTAGCACCAGTTTTAAATGAGGCTCACTCTGTTGTCAGAGTTTCAACCAGGTAACAAATTATTGACATTGTTCTGGAGCAGTCGACAATACCAACCACTCACTATGGTAGTAAAAACGAACAGATAACACAGTTTTCACTTCAGCCGTCTGTGCACGTATGATGACAATCCAAAAAAGTTATTGGTGTTTGCCAGTCCATAATTTTTAAGTACAAATCTAGGAGTCCATTTGGTTGAGGTGTGTTTTAATAGAGAGTGATTCCATTAGTGCGGTTGTGTTGCGTCTCTGCAAGCGCTTGCTTATTTTAATCGCTCCATGAAGTAATCTGTTTTGATTTCAGCCCGCCGTGCACTGACGTATTCAGACACAAATAAACGACCACAACATGAGTATCACTTTCTACAAATAATAATTTTTATTCCAAGAAAATAACCTGTATAGCTTCTTGATAACTTCCCTTAATTGTTATGCATACCAACCGAAGTACAAACACACAATGCATAATCTATCTAATACAGACTCTGTATCTACTACAGAGACTCTGAATCAATATTCTTAAAAGTTAAAAATAATAACCATTCTTTTGTAAGTAGCTTTGATGACATATTGGCAGTGTAAAAACACGTTCTACCAGACAACATTTTTTATAATTCGCAGCTTAAAAACAAGCATTACTATGGTCAGTTTATTACAGAAATCGCTTACAACATAACTTAACAACCAACAGATCATAATTATTAATTTATCATACATTTTACATCTTTTTTCAAAAATATTTTACACTTAACTTTGGAGTTGAGCAATTGTACGATATGAAAAATACTATGTTGTTCCTAGGTCCTTTAAAATTAGTGACATTATATAAAACAAGTTTTAATTTAGTCTGTAATGATCTAAATATATAACAGGTTGGCTTTATATTTTCCTTTTCGATGGTTTACTTCAAAATTGTAATAATTTTGTAGTTAGGATTAGTACGATGAGAACTTTGTTCAGTTTTAATTCAGCTAAATAACACATTAAGATTTAAAAAAAATATCAATGAGTATCGATAAGAGCAATTGAGAAGTAAAAGATTTATCATTTAATCCTAATTAAGATTTTTTAAAAGCCTGCTCTCTTAAATAAAAATGTTTAAATAAAAAAATGCATGTTTCTATATAGCAACTTTCTCTAAGAATAATTTCTTCGGATAAATGCTGTTAAAGCTATTTTAGTGAACAAACACAACAATTGAAAGAATAGGGTCACAGATGATAATGATGATGTAAGCCCAGAAAGGATCCAATTTAAGATCATAACAAAAGACAGTACGGAAGATCCTATCAAAGACCTCAACATGGACACTACAGAAGATCATAACCATGCCCTTAAAGACACACAGAAGATCTATCAAAGACTTTAACAAAGACACTATACAAGATCCTATCCATGCCCTTAAAGACACACACAAGATCCTACTCAAGACAAAGATACCACAGAAGAAGCTACCAGAACATCATATCCAAGATTTACAAAGGATCCTATTCAAGTCCTGACAGAATTTATTTTACAACACAGAATTCATTTAACCATTCCTCTTTAAATAGACCACATTTTAAGTTTATTTTTGATTGCTACATCCTACATCCATAATAAATTTTATATACATTCCATAATTTGCACTATTTAAATATTTATAACATACACATGATTTCAAAAACAGCAAATAAGGTAGAATGTCTGTGAGTTCAGCTAGTGTGAAAAAAATCCATCAAAAATATTCTTAAAAACACAGACTTCCTGGATTTACTTTTCATGTAAACTAAAACTTTTATTTAAAAAAATCAATTGATATTATATTAGCAGTATAGTCTCAATTTAAGGATTTTTTAAAAGAAAATTGAGAAAAATAATTTTAATTGTAGTAAAAAGATGAGGAATTTTTTTGCACAAATACATTACTATACAACTTATATAACTTATACATTGATGGTTGTATTAACATATAATGCAGTTATTTGCAAAACAAGCAATGACAACTTTTGAAATAGTATTAGGTGGTTGTGATTAGATTTTAAACCTGCAACACCGCAGCATGACACAATTTGTTGTTGCATCGGTTCTCTGCGAGTTAAACACAGACGAAATATGTCTGCATCAGGGCATTCAAATCATAAAATACTAAACATGTTTAATATTCTTGCAACTACCTAAGGACTGTCCTCAACGATTAACCGCGTCGGACAACGTTCTCTGAACTGCCCTAAAAAAGTATCTTTTTCTGTTTAAAGTGAAATTACTGTCTGTGAAAAAACAAATCCCTAAAAATGTAATTTAAACTTTCAATTGATCATTCACTGTAACAAAATAATATTTTTATCAATGTCCAGTATAACTCAAAACAAATTGGTTTACAAATTTTATACAGGTACTACAAAAATGCTTGAATACCAGTTAATATAAGGATTTATGCAAAGAATATAAGAATGTTATTACTTGAAGTAAATTTTAATTTAAATGTACAGTTTATTTTTTAAATACTAAACTTACAAAGTAAGCAATTTAAATAATGTACTATATTATTTAAAGACCAAAAATGTTATAAAATCTAACAAATTCAATAAACATTTTTGAATGGCTAATTTGGAAAAGGATGAAATAAAGTTATTAACTTTCAACCAGAAACAGATAAAATATTTTTTGCTGATACAAAACTCCTTAAATTTGATCGTCAACCAATACACGGGTATCTGGAAGGCATTATTTACACATTGTTTTTTCTCATTGAAATTGTTTTGGTGCAACAGGAACGGTTTGGTTCCCCAACGTCGAGGTAGGGGTTTCAATCCCTTGCTGTGCACTTCACTTGTGTTCTTGAGCCAGGCACTGTATCTGCATTGCTTCTCTCCATCCAGGAGGGTACCTGGTAGGGTTAAATTGCCAAATGCGCAGATTAGCTGTTGCAACTTTACGGAATACTCTCCAGGTAGCTGTGTAATTCGATGAATGGGGTAATGATAAAGTGAAGAACATAGAGATCTCATCATAACATGCTTTTTAAGTCCACCATTATTATAATTATATTAAATTTAACTTACTTAAATATATAAATTAAGAAATTCAAAGAGGGAATCAAATTTTTTAATCTATAGCTCATTACAGTTATCTTTAAATTGTTTATCCTTCAACGGACAGTATATCTAAATCCCTATCCTGACTATCATATTTCATTTGACACAAATTTGTGATATGCCTAAATATGGTCATGATGACACCACATCATGACCATATATAGCCATATCATGACTATATATGGGCATACAACAGTTTAATAGTGTGGACAGAGCTTCACAACAAGTATATTATAATGGGACATATTTCAACAATATAAAAAGAAATTGGAATGATTAGGAAAATCTCAAAACTTATATATATTGATATATAATTTTATTTCTCATCTACTTCCCAAAACAAGTCCTTTAAAATTTAATTATGAAATCAAACATGTAAACATACCTGTAGCCTACAAACAAAACTTGCATTTTACCTGTGCATAATAAACTATTACTCATAACTGTAAATAATATTTTCTTCTGTTTCATTTAACATTACAAAATTTTGATAAATCTATCACGTATTTTTAATCTTTTTTTTTAGTTTGTTTATAATTTTATGTGGAATGTTTTGGGAATTTTAAGCCTTTGGAGACTGTAGATTTTTCAAGTTGTCAACTCCTGTGCATGGTTTTCTGATCATTTGTTTTAATGAGTTCTATTGTACCAAATATACAAAAAAAAAACAGATAAATATATATATCTATATAAAAAAATCAACCAATGGTACATTTCACTACATTTGTTTGCATACTTTGCTGATGGAAATATGAATTTGGATGATTGTAAGATAATAGTTTGGGTATATATAACCAGTTGTGTATCTAGTAGTCTTGAAATGGTCATGTTGGGGGGGGGGGGGGGGGGGGTGCTCAATGATTATGTTATGGGGTGCTAGGTCACAAAATAAGGTGATATGAGGTGATTTTTAACTACTTAAGTGCAGGGGGAGGGGCAGCGTGTACAAGCTTTTTTTATGCACCCATAAATATAACACCCAATGTATAAACATCATGTTTGTTAATAAAACAATGTTTTAAGCATAAGCCCACATTTGGGTATAATTTCTTCCTTTGATTGTAGCTTATTAATCAGAGTTAAATGGATTTAATTTTCACAGACAGCAAGTGTTACTAGTTTGAAAACATGTCTATTATCCAATCACAATTGCATCCTATAAATACTTTACTAGTGATTATGTAAAAAAATATTCTATGTTTATGATGAGAGCTTTCAAAATAATTTTGTTTTAATTATCATCACTGATCTTTTTAAATTTTTACAAATATCAACCACTTTTATCACAATTCATGGACAATGTGTCCCAAGTCCTTTGGGGTAAATAATTTATACAATGGTGTAGGCAGAACATCACTCCTATATGATGATATTAACACTGATTTAAAAACAAATACAGGGTACAGAGCTAAACAGTAAAAAAATGATATTAATGTGGTAAAGAGATGAACCTTCATAAGTTATTAATCATGTTGGTTACATTTATCCTCCATGCATAACATTTTTTTTTTTACCATCACAAGTCAAATCATCCAGAAAATCCAGCAAAAAATTAAACATCCTAATAAGTAATGAGTATCTGTGTATGTCTAGATCTAGCAAAGCTAATGCTAGAAATATTGTCTACAATACCAGTTTATCTTTTAAAGTGTTTACCAAAACATAGGTATCAAGCCATATAATTAATTAACACGGATCAACTAATTAAAAATGTTTTTTGACCAATCCCAAATGCACCTAGCCAATTATTTCGAAAGTGAAGAAAATATCAAATTCCAATAATCACATTAATTTAGTTACAAATAATTCTTTTTTTCACACATAAAATTATTTATAATATTAGTTAGAAAACCTAAAGGGACAACAATACTAATTTATCATAAACAATTTTTAAACTCATCTCCAGTCAAAACATTAAAAGAATCTTATTTATATATGAATAATACATGCTTAATAGATAATCTCTTGTAAAATATAATTTATCATGTTTTTTTCATTTGAAATCATAAAAATTCAAATTAGTTTGGTCACTCATATTTTTCTTATATTATGTCAAAATTTAGGAAATACAACAGAAGCAAGACAAAAATACAGAAGAGGTAACTTTTTCATTTTTGGATGCAAACTCAAGCAACTTTTGGCCTTACAAATATTACATCTAATTTCATTTATTTTAAAGTCATTTAAATTCTTATAACCCCATCATATACTTAAATTCTATCATATCTGCTGAGTCTTTGCCGATTTATATCTTTATAAGTTTGGCCAGATTTCTAATTATTCTTGTAATTTAAAGACAATTAACAAAGGACACTTATGAACATGGTTAAAAGCTTCGGTCTTTGAAATGTCCTGACAAAAATAAATGTACAAAAATAATACAAAAAGGCACAAAAATGTCCCTTTTATTTTTTGTTTTTTCTTCCCAGGCTTGTTTGTAATCAATTGTATAGTTAATACTATATATGGTTTGCAATCAAGTGCATTCAGTTTAATAAGATTGGCCTTACTTTAAATACTGCCCTCTATAGTTGAAAAACTCCCACAAATACTGCACTTGTATGCTTTGATCAATTTTCTATTGTCCATGTTTTACCAAGCCTATCAAATTATTATCATTGAGGTTATAAATCCTGCCAACAAACTACATGACATTACACCTCAGACTATAAAAAGCTATAAAATGCATCAAGCGTCCAGAAAAATAAAACACAATTGGGTGAAACTGTACAAATTACATGGCAACATTCATAATTTTATGACTGGTTTAATATAATAAATTAGCTACCCATGCTGTCATGTTCAATATTGTACTTAGAAAAAAGTAAAGTTGTGAGATAAAGATAGGAAAATATTAAAATATCTGTAAATGATGACAATCAATCATAAATTTATCAGAATCCAGATTTGTAAATTAAGAAAAATGGAAATATAGCATATCATTATTTTGATTGTGATGAGAGTGATGAGTCATGAAACTGCCAGATTAGGTGTAAACAGCCTGATTTAAAAATTAACCAAAAATATGTCCATCCATTATATTTTAGGTTAAATTTCCAAAAATCATTAAACAATGATCGCTTCAAACCCTATCATATTCAAGTAAATGTGTTTATATTATTTATACAAATTCACTACAATAATAGTCTGTCAATGTGTATGGACGGACTAATTCAAATTCAATGTTACAACAGAAATTTAAGAACATTAAAATAAACAAATGAAATTTCATATTCGATATCCAATTTGGGAAAGGCATTGTGTTTACACAAATTCATTCAACAGAAGAAAATTCCGATTTTGCAATAGTCACAGATTGTATGTTGTTGTTAGTACTGAAGGAAAGAATCAAGTTAAAAAAACACATTTGCAAGATTTGCATGCCTCATTCTCACATGCTTAATATGATTCAAGAAGAAATAATACATTAAATATTTGACAGGAAATGAATGCGTATCGCATCCAATTTAAAATGATGGTGCAGACTAGGTGTCTTAATGCTAACAACGTTTCATCTCCACACGAAAAAAAAAAAAAAATTCCCGAGTTTCAGAGGCATTAGTCTGGCTAGGAATGAATTGAGTTAGTCCAAAATAAAAAGAGCCAAGATGTCAGCAAACAGGAAAAGGATCAATATGAGCCGAACCTGTTTTGCCCATTAACTAGTGATGACAAAACAGTTTAATATTCCTCAAAATTCATATCTTATTTAAATAACAATAATAATATAATAATAATAATATTAATATTAATATTAATAATAATAATAATAATAATGCATCTTATTTAAGTGCAATTGTATTATTACCAAAATAATAACTTTATGGAAATAATAAAGTCACAAATATTGACTTGATAATAATAATGATATTATTACAATACCAAAAAAAGGAAAAAAAAAAAAATTAATAATAATAAATATAAGATAGTATCAATGTTGAATGTTGTTAGTATGTTTTAGTTTCTTTTATAATTTCTATACACTTTTTGTTGAAGATAAGATTCATGGGTTTATTTTATTACAGTTCAAATAACTAATTTTCAGTATAAATTAAAATCAATAACCACTGATCATTTCTACCCACCCACACACAGACAAGAATGAATATTAATCGAACATTGCCAGGGATTCAATCTTCATGTATAATTATTATAGCAATTACTATTAATATCACTATAGTATAGTAAATACTATTGTCATTAATATTGTTATTATTAAATTATTATTACAGAATTGTGAATTATGGTAAGTCTGTCCAGATTATAAAATTTTCTTTGACAAAAAAAAACTGTTGTATGCCCATATATAGTCATGATGTGTCTATATATGGTCATGTTGTGATGTCATATTTGGGCATGTCACATGTTTTTGTCAAATAGAATGTGATCTTCCTCTTCTTCTTTTAATATATGATTAGGATTAATATCACAACAAAATTATTTTAAATGTGTTAAATTAAAATTTTCTTCATGAATTTCAATTATGGTTACGTAACTCTTGTGGAATTATAATCACCATGGCATTAAACACCACCTTGCTACATAGTTCTTTAGCGTACTGTCCATGATATGCAAATTTTTTTAATAAATTTAAATTATTAAATATCATAACAATATTTTATATCAATCATTTTCTTAAAAATAAATTGAATGAGTCCATTTTTTACAAGATTATACATTTTAGGAAAAAAAATCACGTCGATCTAAATAAAATTGCATAAAAAACTGAATTGCATTATAAATGAAACTTAACGCTATGCTAACTATATTTATTGAAAAATATGTTAATGAAGCAATAAATTTTTAAAATATATATATGAAGTTAGCTCACACTAAATATGAATTTCATAACAAGATTATTAATATTTATAATCATTCATGAGCTTTTGTATGTCTGTCTTATATAGCATATATTGCCAAGGCCTTTGGGCACAATAGTAATACTGCTATAATAATCATGAATATTCATGTTTAACTGTAATTAGAATGAATATTCATAATTATACAGTAAGCTATGAATATTCATGATTATATAGTAAATAGGACATATAAACCGGAATATTCATGAGAGAAATGAAACTAATACTTAAGTTATGAAAAATTTATATTTAACAGATTATTTGTCTTTGGACAATTAAATTAGCCCTTATTCTTCATATTGCTTCCTAAACTTCATTTTCTACAAATTGTGAACTTTGTAGATCAGTGGTGAGAATAGCTATTAGATGCGAGAGAGTATGTTCCTAATATGGTAACGCTGAACCTCTCACCATCTCAGATCATACATACATGGATTCCTAGTCAAAGTCTGAAATGAGAAAAAAAAAGAAAGAAATTTAGAACAACTATTTTTGATAATTACATTTTGGTGTTCCTTTATCAATCTCCCAAATTTATATTCACTAAATGATGAAGAAAGATGAAGCGATGAAATGTGAAGACAATGATGAATATTATTATGATCATAACGGTGACAATGGTGTTGATGATAACGATGATTGTGGTTAATAATGACGATAATGAGTAATAATGATGATTACAAATTAGGTTTCAATGATAATGTAAACTTTAATACATTGTGATGGTAAACCTATCAAAACTTGATTTTTTTCCAATTAATTATCTTATCCAGTTTTGTGAACAACTGATTGTTTTTAATGATCTGAATGATTCGTTCATACTCCCACTGACAGTCAGCAGATGTTGTAGCATCGTCATTGAGTATCCTGGCTTTATTCGTTGCTATATATCTTATACTCAATATGGCAACAACAAGAAAGTGGATTTCTTTTAATAGGCATTATAATTTTTGTGAAGCTAAAGGTAAAAAAATATTGTAAACAAAATATATTTTTAAAGCTCTGTCCTAATTATCAAATTTTCTTTTGACAAAAAAACTGTGATGTCATCAATAACCATATTTAGGCATGTCACCAATGACCATTTTAGGCATATCACATGATTTTCATCAAATAAAATTTGATAGTCTGGAAAGGACTTTAAATGTATTGAACAAACCTTTTATACGAAAATGGGGGCTGTGAGTAGCAGGTTTATTAATCAGTGGGATGTTCTGGGCAGGACCGATTCACTTCAAACCACGAGTCTATACATCTAATAAACAAAAAGACAATCATAATTATTATAGGTAGGCAATTAATATGGCCACTTGCAGTGCCACTGTGCTAAATTGCGTATTTTGCATGGTATTGAATTATTATTATCGTAGCAACCAGAGAGAGGCATTCAGTAGTCACATCATTCCACAACGACAAGGGCTAATAAGGGGTTAATAGCCCTCTTTACCTCCGAAAGATGTGGTGGATTATCAATCAAATCAATCAAAATATTTATATAGTGCCAATATCCAGAAGTGTTCAGAGGCGCTGATTAGAAAGTGCTCATGAGCCAAATGTGTATGAGATATGAGATTCAATTCAATTCAAAATTTACTCACTTCAGTATGCCATCTATGGCCATTACCATACAAAACTAAATCAATAGAATAATTAACTTCACCATTATTCAAGATTTACCGTACTGTGGGCTTCATGCAAATGTATTTATTCAAACATCCTGCTATGCATAAACGCCCCCTCGAGTATACACCCCCTTCAGAGTTTCATTTGGAATAAATAGATGTCCCGGGGTGTTCATTTTTTCCTAAATGCACCCGCCTCCCCACCCAAATGAATGTAAATAAGACTATGGAAGCAACATCATTCTCCACACATTCTATTAATATTCTACTCAATAAGAATTTTTTTTTTCCTAACTTGGCTATGATCAATAACCTGGTTATGATCAATAATAAGGACCACAATGGATATAAGTTCACTTTTGCATTAATTTTTGTGCAAATTTTATCCTTGGAATTCTTATTACAAATATGAATTTTGAACAGAATGAAATGAAATAACACATTTTGATGCTAATGTATTTTAGTTCCACATTCACATTGAAAATAAGAGGTTTTTATTTGAGTATATGATTCCATTATACACCAAAAAAATAAACGTCTGCCTCGAACATATACCTGCCTTGAATACTGTAAATTCCCCCTGAAAAACCATTCTCAACAATAACGCTCTGTTGCGCCTATTTGAATAAATGCGGCGGTATCTTTGAATCACTTATTAGGTTAACACCAAACTAAAACAATTGAAGAAACCTACAGATTTTAAAATATGAGACATGTATAAATGATGGAACTCAGCTCTTCCTGACAAGGGACCAAAGCTGTGACAAATTCATTCAAGTTCACACTCAAATTTCCTTCATGACAAGAATCTTACACAATTTTCGCCATATTTGAAAGGAAAATTTCCGAGAACCTGGCAACTTCCACTGGGGGACTTCCAGAGGCCTAGCATTTCGCTCTACATACAGTAATAACTATCATGGATTAATTAAAAGATAAAACTAAATTACTAAAGAGCACAAATATTTTAAAACGGAAAAAGAACAAAATGTTGATATTAAAAACAAGCCTAAGTCTTAAAAAGCTTTTTCAATGTTGACATACAGAATTAGCAAAAGATTCTATCTGTTGTCTGCTGCTGCTATAGCAAAGGTCTAACGGTACTATCCAGGTGCTTAAACTAGGCCGCTGGAAGTCCCCGAGTGAAAAGTTGCGAGAAGTTAGTGTCGCTGTTTCAAAAGTATACCCATATATAGTCATGTCATGTGCCAATGTCAATGTCATGATGTGATGTCATCATGACCATATTTAGGTATGTCATTTGTTTTTGTCAAATAAAATTTGATAGTCTGGAAGGGTCTTTATACCCCACTTTGAAAACAAACCCTGATTGCTTAAAGGGGATTTGCATTACAATTGATTTGAAGTTAGGAAACAGTATATGGTAGAATTAAGGGGAATTCCCAACAGCTGTTATGCACTCACAGGAAATAAACGTATTGTTTAGCTAGACGTACGGTAACCATGTACTTGTTTGTAGTATGCAAAACCATGCGCCACGTTTTGTTGCTACTTTAGTGTGGCACAAATCTATTAATATTCACAATTAAATATTTGCCTATAATTATTGCTATAAATAGAATTAGTAACCATTAGTTGACGGTTTAACACAATGCATGCTGAGACAATAGAAATAGATTGTTTTTTTTTTTTCACAGGCCTTCAGTTTAGCCATTAATTATAGTACAATTAGAACTCCTTTTCATTTCATTTCCTCCCATATATTTGTCTCAAAAACATTAAAATTTACAAGAACAGAAACAGCAAGGAACAATAAAAAAAGAACATGAGGCAGGAACACACCCAAAAGTAAACTTAATCACTGTCGAGTGGGGGCCCTGTCGCCCCTTGACAAAAAGCAAATTCTATAATATTGCTGCAAAAAAGAATAGCAAAACTTTATTTGTTCCTTTTAATTATGAGCTATGATGTAATTTAATATTTAGGGTTTTTATTATAAACATATTTTAAGACAAAGTTAAAATAAGAAATATTGAGAAGGATTTTTGATGGAGGAAAAGATACACACCCCCTGGTGTTTATTCAAGGGACGTGTATATTTTAAATGAGGCTCAGGAGGGAATAGATTCAAGGGTGGGGGGTGAGGGAGATGGCGGGCATGTTTATTCAAAGCAGGGCATTTATTCAAATAAATAAAGTATTTAAAAACAATTATGAATAGCAAATAGATGTTGTATTATAGAAAGGACACCAGACTAATATAAAACAAAGGTATAATAAGAAATACAAATCAGCATGGTCTTTCCAAAGTAATACATTACAAATAAAAATATTTATGCATAGCAAATAGCTGTTGTAGTACAAGGACTAATATAAACAGACCTTTTGATTTCAGTGTACTTGGATTAGTGTGGACAGACCCTTAGTCTACTTGGATTAGCGAACACATACACACTAACATTTTATCGGCATTCAAATTTAAATTTAAATTTACTCACATTATATAAACATAAATTTGGTTGATGCAAGCTTAATGTGACTGATCTATACTGTATTTCTTTTGAAATATTCTGCCTACCAGAAGGTAACATAAATACATACAGTATACATTACAGCAATTATTAACCCTCTGGATACCGTATTCTTTTGTAGTGCAAACCCTTGAATACCGGATTCTTTTGCAGTGTAACAAGGTTTTTTGCTTTTTTTTAGTATACGTCGTTTTGGTGGATTTTTGGGATCTTTCTGTAAATTATACAGAAAAATGTTTCTAAAAACAAAGAAAGCTTATAGAATAAGCTTTCATTTGATGTATAATTTATATTTTTGGGATTTTTTTTTCATAATATAATATATATATATAATATAATAGAAATTACAGAAAAATGCTACATATAAATGTGTGTTCAAAATTTCTGACGTATTGGAGCTAAAATAAAAACAGAAGAGCGATTTGAAAACCACCTATTTTTTAGTCACGAAATTTCGATTGCAGTCGAAAATGGGAATTTTCGGTTTGAGGTCAATTTCGACTACAGTCGAAGACGGTATCTAGAGGGTTAAGCGCTATAAAAATCAGAGCTCTTTTTGTTGTATTTTTATTAATACACTTTGGTGACGAAATACTTCTATCTGAAGTCAACAGGAAAATAAGAAAAAATAAAACAACGCAGTTAAAACCAAATACCACAGCACCGTTCCCAAAATATTTAAGGTCATCAGGACAGTATTCAAAGGTGCTCAAATGACATCTAGGCAATACATAATCACAAGGAAACCTAGAAAATAAAGACTAACTTTTTCTTTAAAGTTAATATTTAAATATAACGATACGATAGATGCAGTGTATCTACATGTAGAGTCTTGAAATGGGGGAGGGGAAGGGGCTGATGGGAAAGGTGAAGTGGGGGCTCAATGATTAGGTAGGGGGAAAGTGCCAGCATGCAAAAATAAGTTGATTTGGATTGATTTTTAACTACTTTAGCATGATTTTTCATCTTTTCTGCCCCCCACCCCAAACAAGGTATCCCACCCTCTAGATATGCCACTGCGATAAGCCTGTTCCATATTCTACTCTTATTGGCACGTCCAGATGGCTCCTTGTCTTTATACCTACGCCTAATGCAAGACTAAAATCTTCACTCACAAGGTAGGTTCATCTCATACCATATCAAACCACCGCCATTGTCATTTAAACATTTCCAAATGTCAAGGAAGTGAATTGATGTGATAAAGGTCATTAAGAAGTCATTTGAAAGGTCACTGTTTGATCAATAATTGTCTCTATCCACAAAACCCAACACAAACTGCAGTAATCAATATTCAAACTTGGTCTGGTTCACTAATGACAAAAACAAATCTTATTTCAAAGCCACAGCACTTCTGGTTATTATATCTGGTTTTCTTCGTGTGTTTTGCTACATGAAGTACTGTAAACATTGCTGCATTGTTTGCAAAGTAAAGATGGGTTCAGCTTTTTTTTCAGTTTCCAATCAATGACTACATATTTTGCTACATATCTGTTTTGTTATATAGTTTATATTCTTCTTATTATTTTTCATATTTCACTAACTTATTGTTTTCTAGTTAATTTAATTTGATTATATTATAATTGGCCTATATTACTTTCACAGACTTGTTATTGTGATAAGTTCGTGTTTGTGTCCCCGCCCACTCATTCAATTGTATTCTGTGTACACTGTACTAGCATTGTATTCTACTTTCTTTTGGCAAATAAAGAAAACAATAATATCAGTCCTTTCAATATTACCATACAATAAACAGATATAAATTAATGATTATTTTTATACAAAAGGTGTGGTACCACAACGACTAAAATAAATTAATTAGTGTTATGTTGTTATTTTTCGAAATGACTCCTGGGATCAAAGACAACATTCACTACAACATATTGCCTAAAGATTCACCAAAACATTTCGTAAATGTTCCTGGGTCTGGACTGGCTAAGATGATATTTTTAACTGTTTGAAACGAGTCTATCCTCAGTAAAACATCAGGTCTTTCACCATGTTACGTTATTTTTCAAATAACTCCCGGGATCAACAATGACATTCAGTACAACATATTGCAATATAGGTATCTTTCAATATGCCCTCATCATAGTACCGTACAGTCGTCTGTTTCTCTTTCTCTTCTCTCAGTTTTTTACTGCGTGCTCTCTACTCTCATTGTGCATAATTAGGCGCACAACCTTACAAGGTGCACACAATTTAGACTATACTGTATATTAGACTGCATATTATACGGTAATTAGAGGCAACAACAATTAGCAAGCTTATGATTATTATTATTATATATTATTTTCTTTGGTCATATCTGTTAGTTCAGATACATACAAACAACAACGGAAATAACAAAAATGGGTTATATAGTAAAAACATAATGCATGCGCTTTTGCAGTTAATATTTAAATTCATGAATTTAAATATTAACTGCAAAAGTTAATATTTAAATTCATGAATAAAATAAATCTAAAAAGAAAACAAAATGAAAGATGATATAAACACGCAAGAAATAACTAAAGCTGAAACTCCAAGGGGTCACCATCAATTCCCACTCCGATTCATCCTCATATTCTTAACATTTCTAGAACAAAAAAAAAGGGATACAAAGTTTTGACTCAGAAATTAAGATCGAGACAGTCACCTCCACGAGATAATGCAAACCAGAAACAGGCAGTTTGTAGAAGGGCAGTCAGTGATCTCACTGTACGATAAAACAGATATTTTAAGTCAAGAAATATTACCACAATGTCTGGAGCCAACCGGAAAAACTATAGACATAGGAAATGCATCCTGTCCCATCTTACTATAACTATAACATAAGATATATGCGACGGTGGTGCTACCAGATATTCCCTAATGTAGGTTAAAGTTTCCTCACATGGGGTCAACGAGAGGTTAAAGTTCTCTAATAGCGTTCACTGTAACTTAGCATATTCCTAAAAGATGGCCCTCTAAGACTGTAAAGTGCTTATAAAGCAGTGTTCACAAACAAAATGATGATTGGCTTCTCCTCACAGGGAGTCGAGTGTTCCCCACAGGGAGTCGCATGTTCCCTGATGGGGGTTCTGTGCCACCCTAGACCATACTGTTGCTGCCACTAACATGCCACAGAATGAACTCAGAAGCGCGCTAATAACTATATAATGCATGCAACCAATTTAAATATATTTAGTTATCAAACTGAAATCCTAAAAACTTTCGTGTTTAAAATGTAGATTTGTATAGCACCAGTAACCATCAAATAAGATGCTTATGGCGCTTGATGTATGGACTACGTAGCTCGCTCAGTGGCTTTCTTCGCACCTAAGGGTCTCTTTGTTTCTGTGCTACTTGGTAAACTGGTACCAGCAACTCCCGTCATTCGCCACAGGCGCTGTCAGTTCCAGTACACCGGGTTATCGCCCTACTCGTCTTGAATGATGTACGGGGTTCTTCATAATGCACACAAGCCACTGTGTACACCGACCTTATATAGTTTATACTGGTTTATAGTTCTTAACGCGTATTTGTCATTGTAAATAATTTGGATATGACGCTTAAATAGTCTAGATAATGATCGCCAGGATGAGTTTTATTTAATTACAGTTGGGTTACAATGTTGTGTAGAGTGTGATCTTGTACAATGCTTCCTCAGTTACTGACCTTGTATGAATAATATTTCTATTGTTGTTTTATATTGTTGAATTTTGCATACAGTACCTAGTTTATATAAACACCAAATCTTGTTATTTTCTTTTATCTCCATTGTATGGATGACTCATTGTTTTCAAAATGATCATATTTTAAGCCTTCTCATATATTTGTATTAAGTCTTATTATCAAAACATCTCAATTCTAAATTCAATACATTTGTGGCATATTTCAGTCCATGTAAACAATTTGTATTTTGATACATAAAAATATATAGTAAATTTTTGTTCTGTAAAGAAAACTTCTATTCCAAATGCATGTAGACAAATGAATCAATGCAATATAAAATATTAGGAGGAAGAATCCTCAAATAGATACAGGAAAAATCTACTATATAGCTAAAAATAACTCTGCGATAAAAGATCTACCGAATGCCTATCCGTCTACTGTGTCACTCACGGAACGCACGTCAGATTTTAGCACTGCGTTACATGCATACTACTTCCAGAAAGTGTTTGTGTGGCTAGCCGGGCAGAAAAAGCAGAATGGTCAATTAACACCGCTGACTGTCTTCTGCTCGGTTGGCAGTCAAAGCAGGTCTCTCCAAGTGATGTCACGGCCAATTCGACGTTCACTTAATTAATTTCACACTTTAATCTAACTCAGGCCAGAATACTGAATGACAATAACAATATGGTGTGACTGTTTGAGCATAAAATGTTTGTTTAATAAGCGATATATGAAGGTTTGCAGGCAAAGTTACACGCAATATTGTTCAACGTATGATAAACCATTACAGTATAGTATTACTTTACTTTGAAATGCACAGTGTATAGAGGATGTTGCACATAAAATATCATTTCTTTCAAAATATCATTTTGGTAGAGCAGCCAGGTAATTATAGGGTGTGGGGTTCAAATCCTAATAGGTACAATACTTTTTCCTCACACTCACAATATAACAAACATTATTTTATTATTAAAAATTGACTCTAACATTAATTTCTATAAACAATACTTCAGAATGCTAAAAACATGATTAAATAAAATCAGCTTTGCGAAACACTAAGTTGGATGGATGGATGGATATATTCGGTGCAGACACCATGGATACCCTACAAAAGTTTGAAGAAGACTTATTTCCAGTGGGATCTTCCTGGTGGTGAATTAGACAGTACAGTGGGAGACAATCCCCTACTCTTTTCCGAAGGGTGTACTGCATTCTTTAACATGCACATGGTAAATGCACAGAGAACCAACTGCTTAAACAACTTCTGTGAAACACGGTTCACTATCATAAACTTGCATTTCAGCCCTCTAGCTGAAATACAAGAGAGCAGCAATCAGAAATGAACCGGGGACCAAGAGATGTCCACGGTTCAGCGCACACACATAGTGGCTACCACCAGTTTAGCTGACTGAGCTATTACTGAACTATCCACTTGGCCATTATTATTTTTTTTTTTCTTGAGTGGGTCACTTCCAGGTGTTTTCAGGGAATGGGTTGGTACAGTGATCCTGTCAGTTATGTTTCCCTGAAGTTGGTCGGCTGGCACTCAAAGTGCGGAAGAACGGCACACTGACTCCACCCTGATGGCTCTTAGTCTCGCACCAAACGTGCTTGCTTTACTTCATTATAGTCTTTTTTCATATTTTTTTATTGGCGCATAGGGATAGCTGTATTACGCGCCTCATAAATCCATTGACTGATTGATTGGTTAGTTGATTGATTGAATTTCCAACGAAACACAGATCTAACAAATTTAAATTTAGCTGATTTTTTTACTATTTAAAAAACTGATTACCAGCAATAAAAAGTACGTAAAAATAATATGGTATATTGTGCATCTTTTGGTTGGCAGAAAAAAAATTCTCATGTTTAATTTATAAATGAGTGAAAGTCAATAATTAAAAAAATACTGAGAAAGCAATTAAAATGCTCAATTACTTTATATTGTTCTTGAAAGCCTGTTCTAAAAACAGATAAATGTAGTTCCTTTTGTAGAAGACCACCCCCTTAAACAGAAGATTGAGCAAATTTGGAGGGGGAGGGGGGGTGGCCTTATACTCGGGGAATCTCTTTAATGGTCACGCATTTGGTATTGTGCCTTTTCCATAGGATACAAAGCGCCCACAATCAGCAACAAACAAAAAAAACAACAAAGCCAGTAATGGATGGTTGTTTTAAGAATCAACCCAAAAAAAAAAATTAATTTTATGCACAAAATGAATGAATAATTGCTTCTTCAGAAAAGAAAGGTCCGCAAAAGGGGGTAAAACAACCAGCGTCATATGCAAGTTCGTTGTGAATCAAAAGGCTGGAATGTAAAAACTGGGCGTAAAATAGAAATTAGGCTTATACCTGAGATGGGTAAATTTAAGTAAAGTTACTTACGGTTTGTGGTAAATACAAAGACAAGGGAGTCGGGCTATAGTGTTGCCCTCAGTCATATCTTCTAAGCAAATGGAGCATTCTCCTTGGTCACTTGTTAACACATCATCTGTTGGGAACAAGATTTAAATACGTGATTAGCATACAGCCATTTACAATCAGAATTACAATTTTAAAGCACTCTGAGATGTTATAATTCTTGAAAAATATTGTATAATTCATAATTCTTTATGGTCAATTTTAATATTTTAGTCTTTATTACACTGTATCTTCTTGTTAGTCAGTAATTGTATTGTCTTTGTTCTTTTTAATTTTAATGTTTGGGTCTTCTGGCTTGCCGAGTCACAGGCATTCGCATCTTTACAAGTCCCAGGACAACATTTGAGGTGTACAGTAATAAATTAAATTAAATTCATAATAAATGTTGAAAAATAATAAAATTCTAACATTTTTCAAGAAGACTGAACCTGGGACCTTGGGATCTGAAGATGGGCACTTTTCAGAAAACAACTCTCATTATTTACACTCTGATTGATTATGGTTGCCATGGTGAGGGTAATTTCCATAATGGTTAAAAGCACTCTGTAGGAATACATTACAATTATCAGGTCATCCTGTGATGTGTTATATTATGCTGTACATACTATATATACACAAGGTCATTAGTAATCATTCATAATTATCCTAAAAATGTTGCATAATCCAAACTTTAATTGTCCATTCTATTCCATCTCCCAATTATTAACTGTTTGAAGCATACTAAGCATACATGCATTAAACAATTCTTTATCTATTACTACATGTGGTACCTAAAATTATTATTCATATTCATTGGCATTGTGATTGCATAATTTAAATTATATTAATTCCAATTTCCTTTCCTCAATTTAATTTTTTTCTTTCTTTTCATTTTCTTTCATTTTCCTTAATCTTCTCATTTTATCTTTTCATATTTCTTTTTTCCTTTGGCTTTCTTTATCTTTTCATTTCTATCTTTTCATATTTCTTTTTTCCTTTGGCTTTCTTTATCTTTTCATTTCTTTCCTTTCCTTTATTTCTTCTACTTTTTCTTTCTTTCTTTTCCTTTCACTTCTTTTTCCTTTCCTTTCATTTTCCTTTGTTAAATACCAAAAGACATTGAAAGTACATAAGGTTGAACAATGTATAAATTATGTGATCAAACATGGTAATTAATAATTTGTTACGTGAGGCAAAGACTGCAAATTTCTCGGAATACATAAATTGCCTAATGCGATTTTCAATGGATATTTTGATCAAACCAGACTTGACAATCTAATTGTCCACAGTGTAAATCAACATGGTTCACAAATGCAGACTTGGATTGTTTCAAGGAATTAAAATGTCCATATAAATTTAACTACGCTATTGCGTTGTAGCTACATAGGTCATAAACCAATGAACTGTAGTAAACTTTAAAAAAAAACAAACACATATCATCGTAAATTAATCCAAAGAGACCTTTTTTTTTAAAGATCTGACGTCAGATATGATGGCGAACATGCAGCGCGTTAACAATAACATGGCTATGGTGTGCTGACTACATGATAGACGTGATTATAATGATGATGCAATGGGTTCTTTGAAGTGCACGCATGAAAGAGGAGTCTTGGACTAATGGTTTAAAAGCTAGAGGTTGAAGTGCTCTCGACCACCCATCTTATATATTAAAACGAAAATTATCATCGACGACGAAGATAATGGTTATGATAATGATCAACAATGATGGTGGCAGTATAACAATGACGATTATGATAACGATGACGATGGTGACAACAAGGATTTTGACGATCAGAACTATGATGATTATGACAATGATAATGATGATGACAATAACAATAATGATCGTTGATACTATCATCATTCTTCCATGATCATAATTAATATGATTATGTTAAAATGATACTGATAATGATAATGATTGACGATGATGATGATGGTGATGAAGATGATGAAGAAAAGATGATGACAATGACGAAGATTATGAGGACAATAATGATCGATAATACCCTTGTCTTTCTTTAATGATCATATTAAAATTATGTTTAATTTGCGGACTTACCATTATATACAATCCTAGGTTTGGTAAGACACATTACCAGGTGGCATTCCACATCATCCGAAGCAATAACCTTAGAACATACTGGACATTTAAAACCTGAAACAGGAAACACATACCAATTTATTAACTTTGTATGCTAGTCCACATATCAAGCGCCCTGAGCATCTTACATTAGATGGATATGTGTGCTATATAAAACTACACTATTATTATTATTATTATTATTCTGCTCAAGAACACATTTTTATTTATTTATATGAGAATTGTCTTCCCAAAACCAGCATACCTTCACTAAATGTGAAACCCAGTAATTAGCGTTAGAGTGTGTCAGTAATATTACAGAAAAGTGTAATACTATATATTACAGAGAAGCCTTAATACTTTTACTCATAACTTTGACAATAGTAAATCGATTCCAGTAAATGACACATCATTTTAAAGCTTTAAAATATGGAAATATGAATACATTAAAAAGTCAATTTCCTTCATTTAGTCATTGATGCTGGTTTTTGCATGGCTAGAATACAAACAAAAAATTTAAAAAACACCCTAAAAAACAACACAACACAGCTTAAAAAACAAAAATTGTTTCAAAAAGCACTACTGTAATAATAATCAATACTACTACTAATAATAATCAATAATGGAACTTTCTATTGTAAGTAACTCAGTATATCTTGACAAAAATGTTAACCAAAATATCCAAACCTATTAGCGAAACTAAAAATGTCATCATCATCATCATTCATTCATTCGGGTACGAAATACTGTATAGGTGACCACAAGATTTTATTTTGTTATCTTCCTCTTGGTCAAAATTTCTAAAATTATGTAACCTGAGTTGAACAATACTGTATGTAAGCAAAACAATTATGTTTTAATAAATACATGAAAAAAATACAGGCCCTGCTCTAATTAAAGACCTCTCTAATTAAAGACCACCTCCAATTTAAAACCACTTTTCTGTGGTCCCAAATTAACAAATGTCTTTTATATTTATTACTCTAATTAGAGACCAAAGCTGCTAAAGACCACGGAAATCACAGTCCCAAACACGGTCTTTAATTGGAGGGAGAAGGGATGTACAGTATACAGCATGCTCCCATAATTCATTAGTGTTCTATTTAATTACTAGAATCTTCTACAGTATGGCTTAATTTTGCTAAATCTACGCATGAGTGAGCAGAACACCATGACAACAATAAACATGCATATGCATGAACTTTACATGACCTAAACACTTGTTGTGTTTATATACTACTGATGACCTTCGATATTTACTTGTTTCTAACTAATAGAAATGGATTAGGTTGTTCAATCAGCTGTTAAAAAACATAAATTGCATAATTAATCCATCCAACACAAATGCTACAAGACATGTGAAATGTAAATAGCTGTAGTTACTCTCGTATGAGTCCCATGAGCACAAAATTTGGCCAATTTTGAGGGAGGGGTGCATATAGCCAGGAATCCCATTTCAATCAAAATGCAATTTAACACCAATATTTGATGCCAAAGTCAGTCGAGTTACTCATTCAAATTATACCCTGTTCTTTTGCCCAAGGAAAGACTGATATGTGGCAAAGACAAGCCAAACCAGTCACTCGTCGCAAAAATCGATTTTGAGTTATTAATACAGTGTTAGAGAGTAAAATAATAGCTATAAAATGATAAAAAAATCATTCAAATCTCATGCAGAAACTATCTTTAAAACCTTAAAAAGTATTGTTTTAACATTGAAAATGGGGAAAATAACAGCATAGAATGATGTGTAGATATATAAAGGTTAATTTAGTGCAATAAAATAGATTTTTAAAAGTTTGACATTCCAGCATGTTTTGGCCATTTTCTCTGAAACACGATTTGCGACGAGTGACTGGTTTGGCTTGTCTTTGCCACATATGTAAAATTGGACGTACAGTAAAGTAGGGGGTGGGCTTAGAAACGAGATGGGCTTACACCCGAGGAACTATGGTACTTTTGAATCATTGTTTTACAGTAAATAAAATATAAACTTCCAAAAGAATTTTTCAGCATAACCTTTTTAAATATACTTTACTGTATGTGACTAGCCTTGATTTGATTTATTTTATATTTTTATTTTAATAATAAAAACCTCATTTGACATTTACCTCAAGCCTCAATTTGTTCTGTATGTTGTTTTTTTTTTATTGTTCAAGCAATTTCAGCCCCAGTGTTGTTATAAAAATGTATTATAACAAAAAGTAGATTTAATCACAAATTATTAAACTTGGTATGAAAAAAAAACACTCATTCATAGACTTATGATACGGATGTTAATAGGTTTGTTTTGACAAAAACACAATGCCATAAGGATCTGCTTAAAGCTACACATGTTTAAATGCTTATTATTTCCAGGATATATCTACGATATTTACAGGATGTTATTCAGAAACCTTTTGGCAGTTAATCATATTAGTACGTTAGAAATTCATGGAATTCTACAAAAGAGCAGAAACATTCCTTTGTTAATGTTCAAATGGTGGGAATGAAATCTTCACATCATGTGGTGTATACAAGCCAACAAGTTTTGAGGTAGTGCATTTTACTTCCCAAGGGTGATGGATGATTCACTACTTTACTGAAATAAAACCATTGTATTTGTTTTACTATACCGCATTAACATTAAATCAGCAGACTGCCCATCTACATACCCATTTTCATGTTAGGGATAATATTACGCGGTTTGCACGGTACTCAGAGGGGATGCGCTAGTCTCCCCGCATACGTGTAAATTTGGCACGAGCAGGGAAGTAGTATAAACTACTACATAAATATACTGTAGAATATCTTGTACGCCATTCATATCTAATGTAAATATTCAGGTGTGTGGTAGAATTTATTATACATATCAATAACATAAAAACTAGGTCGAAATTCATAGTTAGTATGTACTTAGAAATATGATAACTGAGTTGGCGGACATCAACTGACTCTATAGCAGCTGACTAGATATGATCAGCAAGTAAGCCGACATTAACTGAACTTAAAGCCAACTGATACCACCACATTTTTTCCAACACAAGCTGACCACAGGGTGGCTCACAGCTCCCCTGTGGTCAAAACCTGCCAACTAAAACCACAGGACGGCTGATATTACAAGCTCCCAATGGTCAAATGATGCCAAAATAACTACAGGGTGGCTGACTAGCTTCCCTATGGTCAGTTAGTGTCAAACGTGTTGGTCAAAGTTGCCAAATGAAGAACGGACAGCTGACCGACTTTCTGAGCTATAATTGAAAATGTATAGAATTATAATTTTTCTCATAGTGATTGCTGTTTACTCAGTTAAATCAATTTCAGTGTAGCATAATGCACTGAAAATAAAAATTTAAAAAAAAAAATGTAATTTATCAAGATTGAGATGGCAGAAAATAAAGGAAATGGGAGGGGAAAATAAATTACTTGTTATTTTTACTTGGCCTACTATAAAATCAACAGTACTAATTTCCCTGTTCTCCTACAAATTGGTGCAAAATATTGCGTCTTGATGAGCCACTTGGTTGTTTTTAATCATGCAAGAATTTTGCTGCTGTTGGTTTATATTAACTTGCCACGTAAATGATTACAAGTTCATCTTTTAGGTTTTAATCAGCCAAATAACAATACGCTGACAATCGAAATTATTCATTTCACAAACGTTAATAAAAAATACAACCATGAATAGCAGCTACAATATTCAACGCTTAGTTATGGTAATATTCAAAGCTGTTGATTTTGCCCTCATGAATATTCATATGATTCACACTTGTTCATGTCAACCTCATGAATATATTTACCTTGCTCATGTCTAACTCATGAATATTCTTGATTTACCTTGTTCATGTCAATCTCATGAATATTTACCTTGTTCATACCACCTCATCCATACCAAGATCATTTTGTAATATGAGGCATGTTATGGCAAAATGGCTAAGTTGTTGCAACAATTAAATTTAAGTTATTGGTATTTTCAGACACTTGTGTATGTAATCTTTCAAATGAGGAGTCATTCACTGAAATTCGACATTTCAAGCCTTAAGTTATTGGAGAGTGAATGTACAGCACTCAAGTCAAGATATTAAACATAATTTTGAGTAATTGCCTTCCAAAGTTATTTGTGCATATATTGTTTAATAAAATTAACTATCAAATTCATGTTTAAACAATTTCTTGACCCTTTCCAGAACTAATACTTTGGGACATGATTCATAAGACAATAACTGTTGATCTATAGTGAAAAACAAATTTGGATTTTTAGGAAATTTTTTGAGCTCCCATATTTTATAGCTCATTTACTCAATATTGGCCTGTGCGACAACCATTTCGCTACGACACGCCTCATATGAAAATTATGTAAATTTGAATTAAACTTTTCCATAAAATGCTGGTACTTAACTAAATACCAAGTAGGACCTAGAGATGGAGGTCATTTATTAATCATTATAAGTCAGTGCTCCATTGATTACTAATGGCCAATTATACCTCAACAAGTTAATTTCTATATTTGCACAATATTATAATATGGTTTACTTTCCGTGACCGAGTAACTTCACACAGCACAATAACGCTGTAAGTTATAGGTTATTCTTCTACCTTTATCTTTTACTAATATTACTGTACTATGTATCTACAGATATCAGTGATGAATCCATGAATTCGAAATAAAGTGGACCCGGGGAGGGACTTTCACAAATGGAGGGTCATAGACCACCTCTGCCCCACCATGGTTGGGGCAGAGGCAAGAATATATATGATTATAGCACCTTCAGAGGGCTGGGAAATGGCACTCTCAGGCTTAAATTTGAATATAATTTTCTAATTTTTCTCCATTTTTTTTAATGATTTTGAAAAATTTAGGTGGCCCACGCCAGCCGAGTACCCCCTTGAATGCGCCATTGATTATTACCTTCAGGATCACCAGTGTAATGTCAGTACCCAGTAAATAGCACAGTACATATACAATAATATGCTTATTCAAATACACACCCACTCCCACCACCACACTACCATGTCTGTTTTGTTTAGGAGTTGTTTTATTTCCATTTTTTATTGTATTTTCTTCCTTTTCCTATTATATTCTTTGATTTATGATG